AAGAAATCAGTGCATGGTGTCTAGGCCAAAAAGTGTGGAGAATAGGCATGCAGGGATGGTCTGGCAAAGCTCCCACTAGCATGAGTTGGGGCAAAAGGCCATTAAAATGCTTCCAGCAAGGCCTCAGATAGTGGGAGAATGATTTCAGGCTGAAAAATGCCTCATAGCACAGGTATTATTATTATTATTAACAGTAATAACAGTGCAGACAATTGTGGAATGCTACCACCTTCCAGCGACCAACAAACCCTTTAAGTAGATGCGATTTCCCTACCCCCACCCCATTTTACAGATGACAGATTAAAGCTGGAAGAGTTAAGGCACCAACGAGGATCCAGGATCCTACAGCTGGCAAGTGACAGCCAAGATTTAAACCCATCTCTGTCTCCAAGCTCAGGCATGCTCCTTCCAAGACAAGGCAGTGCCTCTCAGTTTTCAAATCGGTGCATTCCGAAGGTGGGGGCATCTAGAGCCAGCAGTCTCCAAGCTCCCCCCACCTCCTCCACTCTCCCCAGTCCACCTACGACTCAGTGAGATAGTGGGGGAGGGGACATCCTATCATAAAGCAAAGTGAGGACTGTTTGCGCTTCCAGAGAGGTTAACAGCTTACCAAGTTAATAACTAACACTATTGAGCTTGTTAGGACTAGAGGTGGAGGGGATAGGGCACCCTTAAAACGGCAGTAGGGAAGAAAGGGGGCATTGTGGAATACTAGGTACCAATGACTGGGCTGTGCAACTAGTTTACTTAAAAAAAAAACACAAAGCTGGCACAGAGGCAAGATATAATACTGATACCAACACTGGCGTGCTGGGCACTGCTCTTAGTACTCTATAAGACAGAGTAGTGGTGGGAGATTTCAGTTATTCAAACAGCTGCACGTTTAATTTTCTGATAAGTCTAGCATCAGCAAAAGTCCCACGTTGCTGCACTGACTTTCATCTCCAAAGTAGAATCTGGTATCTGACTTGCCTAGGTTTGCAACTGAGCTCTGCCAGCCTGTAGAGTGGAAGTTGTGTAGCCTTACACCAGCACCCTAACCTCTCTAAGACTGTCACTTGGAGGTAGCAATAGTACCTCCCTCATGGTGTTCATGTAAGCATCCCAAGAGAGTGTAAGCTCAGGACCAGTACAGTGCACAAGGAAGCTCTCATCAGATAGCTGCTAATATTATTATTATTACTTGTACAAGGGAGGAGGGATTTTGGCCAACATTGATCAAATTGAGCTCATGCAGAAGTAACTACAACCAAAAGAAAGAGTGACTGAGTGGTCTAGGAGGTGATAAGGGTGCAAAAATTCAGTGCTGGGCACCAGGTTGAACAAAGATAATTTCAGAGAGTTTGGTGAAAAGTCTGACCCAGTGGGATTCTAGCCCAAATCCCTAAATAAGAATATGTGTTTAAAGGACTGAAGGATGAAAGACATCCCAAAGTAAATTTCTTAACAGTTCATTAATTCTTTCAGGAAGAAAACAGCAAAAAGTTTTTGATTAAAAAAAAAAGAATCACCATGACAACAACAAGGAGGTCTGGGTTGAGTCCATGCTTTTGGACGGTTGTACATATACTCATAGGGGCTTCCCTGATGGCTCAGGGGTAAAGAATCTGCCTGTTATGCAGGAGACGTGAGTTTGATCTCTGGGTGGAGAAGATCCCCTGGAGAAGGGAATGGCAGTCCATTCCAGTATCCTTGCCTGGGAAATCCCATGGACAGAGGAGCCTGCTAGGCTACAGTCCATGGGTCACAAAAGTAGGACATGACTTAGTGACTAAACCACCAGCATCAAACATATTCAGATAAGGTGTGAGTATGCACCCAAGTATGAATATACAAAGGCAACTCCGACCTGCGATCCTGGCTTTGGGCAAGCTGAAGGCCAAGCAGAATCTTAGACAGTGTTTGAAGCAAAAAGAACATGGAAAGCATACCTCATTAGGATTTTGCCATTCCAAGAGAGCTTTTTTATCTTTTCCAGAGGGAGAGAGAGTAACTTTAACAAAAAAAAATTGAAGAACGGATGATAAAGGTGGGTATCAGAGCCCAAGGTTGATCAATAGAGAACTGCTGACCTTGGAAAACATACACATTTAAATCGAAGTTGTTGGACAGACCTATATAGATGTTGTTTGGTGACCACTTCGACAAATCTACAAAGCAGAGTAGGTTCCAGCCAATGAGAGGCAAACAGACACATGTCCCAGTGTTTTAAAAATTAGGGATACATTTTGGAAGGCACAGACTGACAAACTTTATCCCAACCCCTGGGAAAATTCTGGAATCAAGTATTAACCAAGTATTTGTTGCCCTTTACAGATGTTAATGGCTTTATATGAGTTCTCTTATTCCTTTTCTGATAGAGGTCGTAAGGTGGTCATTTAGGAAATATTATTTGATCTCAGCACACTGTCTTATGTTTCAGTGGAAAGAGCACAAATTTGAGGTCTGCAGACCGGGATACTAGCCTAGCTTCACAATTATGAGTTGGGTGACCTTAACCTCTCTGGCCTCATTGATGAAAGATAGGACATGTTCTCTTAGGTCCCTGTCATCTCTAAGTTCCATGATTCCACACTGTAACAAAAAGTGGGCTAGGTGACGGTCATACACAGAGGATGCATCCCTAATAAAGCAGCCATACCCCAAGGACTGTTTAATATACAATATCTGGTATGTTAAACTGACCAAGGAAAGGGCTTGTTCCCTGTTTTGCCCATTATATACATTTATTAAAGACAGTCTCCAAATGATAGGAGAGCCATGGCATACGGTCACAAAATGAAGATTTAATATAAACTAGATGGACTGGAGGAGGCTTGGGCTGAAAACCAGATGAAATAAGTATAAAACCCTATGTCTAAGTTATTTAAAATACCTACATGAGTTCAGGATAAAGAAGAGCAGGCTGAGAAGTAGATGATGGAATAAGGATCTGAGTGCCTGAGATGACTTCTCATTCAAGGTGAAGTGATTCAGCCGTCATCTAGCTGCTCACAAAAGAGCTAACGCAACTTTGATCGTACTTGACAATAAGGATAATGGTCATGGCGGACATACTGAGCCCGTACACGGGCTCCCCACATTCTCATTTCCGGGGCATGATAGTATTGGAGGATTCCAGCCCCAGGAAATACTGATGCCTTTGCCACCTGTGCCATCAGATCCTGCCATTGGTGGTGTTTTCAGTGCCAAGACCTTGTAGAGTAGGAGATTAACAAACCATAGTGTGTGTAGATCAGGGCAAGTCCGTAGAGGGGCCAGAGGGTTGAGAGCACTCACCCAGAGGAGGCACAACTAGATGGTGGTGTGACAGGGAGGAGAGAGAAAGGAGTGGGTAATACTGAGGCTCCAACTGCCTGCCATCAATCCATGTACTTCTATTTGTAAGTTGTGCGACTTGGGCAAGTTACTTAATCCCACTTCTGTGTCCTGGTTTCCCCAAATGTAAAATGGGGGTAATCTTAGTAACTATAAGATTATTATGAAGGTAATAACTGAGATGTGTATAAAAGCTTACTGGTCAATGGCAACATTTTAGTATATGTGCACAGGTGATGAAGTGTACATATCATCATGTACCTGGTGGGTGCTCCCATGGAGGAGGAAGGAGGCTCATTCTGACTTCAGAAGGGAGAAAAGGACCAATGGGTGGAAGCAAAAAGGAACAGAAGCATATTCAACATTAAGACCTGTCAAATAATCAGAACTTCCTAATAAAGAAAGGAATTCCCGGTCATCAGAGAAGCCTACTCTATTCCATTTTGTAGCTGGAGAAACAAGTCATGGGGATGACAAGATACCATAAATTAGAAGCTGCAAAGAAATCAGGATGCCCAGATGAATAGCAACACGCCCTCCCTTGGCATTCCTCCTCTTTTGAGAAATCTCTGTAAGTTTTGATTTGTAGGTAACCTCAAAGAGAAATTTTTGTTGCATGCTTCTAATTTTTTTCCTGCCTCATAATAAGCAAGATAAAGAGGGCTTTGTAGTCCAGTTCCCCAACTTTGAATCCCTGCTCTGTTATTTATCAACTGTGCAATCTTGGACAACTTAGCTTACCTCTCTGGGTAGTGTTTTATTCTGTAAATGAAGTAAACTACCTCCAGTTCTGAGGAACAAGGATCAGAGCTAATATATATCTTGCTGTGTTGCTGAGCACTACGCCGAGGTAGACTGACTTCTATTAGATACCTGAGACAGACAGATTCAAGCCTTCTGGCCTTTTGTACCTGGCGGGATGCGGGTGATGGAGACTGGATAAAGAAACTCTGCTACATCAGCAAGCACATATGCCAAAATTGCACTTAAGATAAAGATACAGGAGACAGAAAAAATCTGAAAGCCGGCCAAATCTTAAAGTCTTATACTTCTCACAAGAGGGATTAAATAAGAAGGGGTAAAATGAAACTTTCCTGTCATTTGTTGAGAATCTGCTGTGTTCGAATCTAGACTCCATGTTCCACCATATCTTCACAGTGGTGCAGAAGGGACAGGATTGATGATAATGAAGTTGGACTGGAGCACAGTTTGCAGTTGTCTTCTGAACCAATCCTTCTAGATCTATAGATCAGTGGTCCCCAACATTTTTGGCACCAAGGACCAGTTTGGTGGAAGACAGTTTTTCCACAGAGGGAGGAGTGGCTTTAGGATGATTCAAGCACATTGCATTCATCGGACACTTTATTTCTGCTATTATTACATCAGCTCCACCTCAGATCATTAGGCATTAGATCCCAGAGGTTGGGGACCCCTGCTAGAGATGGTTCCTGAAGCTTTGTACTGTACCCCCAGAATTGACAAGGAATCACCACCCTCATCTCACTGCAGTGGATAAAGCATTAGACCTGAGCAACTTTAGCCAAGATTCAGCTTCTGACAGAGACTGGCTGGTGGCTAAGGGCCTGTCACATTCTTGATGAGAGCCCCCACCACACTCACCACACCTTGAGTTTGGATACAATGAGGACACTAACAGATGACCTTTTTTCTCTGTCCCCCAGTGTGACGGGGTTGGGGTGGACCTGAGCAGCATCTTCCTTGAAGGCATTGCTATTCTCAACATTCCCAGCATGTATGGTGGCACCAATCTCTGGGGAGAAACCAAGAAGAACCGGGCTATGATCCGGGAAAGCAGGAAGGTCGTCACTGACCCCAAGGAACTGAAATTCTGTGTCCAAGGTAAGCCAGGCATGAGAAAAATCGTGCTAGGTCAGTGCCCCAGTGGGAGCAGTTTTCAGTGGGTCTGTCAGCAAACTGTATTAGGATCTACAGCAGGCCCGAGAAGGTTCTGCAGCCTTACAAGAACCCAGCGATACACTGACTCATCCCTGATGCATCATCATTTATAATCTAATTGAGAAGAGAAAATGTACAGTAAGGGATCCCTAAATGGCAGTCATTAATCAAACCTTGCGTTTGAAACTCCATGATGTTAGGAGCCAAATGCTACTTGTGTCAGGATTATCAGTCCTTTAGTAACTAAATCCAGTAGTCAATTCTCAACCTTGATCTTGCTTCATCTGTCAGCAGTATTTGACCCTAACTGATCACTTCTTCCAGGACTCCACACCTTCCTGATTTCCCTCCTTCCCACTGGTTACTTCTCGTTAGTCTCTTTTGCTGATTCCTCGTTTTTCTCTCTCACCTCTTGATGCTGGAGGGTCCCTAGGCAGGGTCCTCAACCCTCTCCTCTCTCTGTCTGCTCTCACTCCCTTGATGACCTCATTGAGTAGTGAGACTTTATTTAAGTACCACGTGAGGGCGAGTGACTCAGCAAGTCCAAAACTGAACTCCAGCGTCCCTCCCCCAAACATTCTCCACCCACAGCCTTCTCCATCTCAGTTGACGACAACTCCAACCTGCCCATTGCTTAAGCCAAAACACTTGGCAGCATCCTCGATTCCCTTTTATCTCACATTTCATATCCAACCCATCAGAAAATCTGTTAGCTCTACTTTTTAAAAACATCTGAGATTCCCCCACTTCTCACCACTGCGTTCCTACCACCTTGGTCTGAGCCACCATCCTCTGTCCCCTGGGTTCCTGCACATCCTCCCAGCTGAACTCCCCGCTTGTACCCCCACCCTCTACAGTCTGTTCTCACCACCTCATCAGAATGCCCATGGGCAAATATGTCTGACTGTGCCACTCTTCTCAAAATTCTGCAGTGGCTAAGATTAAAAGCTAAAGGTCTTCACGTGGCCTAGAGAACCGTAAATGGTTTGGCCCCTCATTAGGTCTAGACATCTTTTACTCCCCCACACTCCCTCTGCCTCTGCCACCCTGGCACCTTTAACATGGCAGGCCGCTTTCATGAGCTGACTCTTCTTTTTGCCTGGAACAACTTGGTAGTGTGCCTTAGAAGCCATCAAGTAGGCCATCCTGCCCACCAGGATACAGAACGCAGGTCTCTGAGAATGCCCCTAAAATTACTTTCAGCCCTACGCCTTACCAGCCATTTCCACGAACGCAGCGAATGGGACTCAAAGTTCCTGGCATCTCTGACTCCTCTGTGGATTGGACAAACAGGCCTCACTCATCCCCAGGGAGCCCCAGTGGACCTGGGGCTGGGGGAGAAGCCATATGTGAGGAGGGCTGTGGCAAAGACCCCCCATTGAGGAGGCAGGAGAATGGATTCAGATCCAAGTGCTGGCATTCACCTACTTGGCACCTCGGGTTTCTATTCTATAAACCCCATATCTGACGTAGAAGTTTTGATAACTGAATGGATGGGATTGACCATTGGTTTCTAAACCACACCTGTCTATAGAAAATGAAGTCCTGGGCCCCAGCCCAGATCTCCCTAATCAATCTCTGGGCTGGTTCCTGGGAATCTGGACCTCCCCAGACGATCTGATGGGCTGCCAGGTTTGCGAAACATTGATATAGACAAGTGTCCCGGAATTGGAGTCTGGGTTCTTTGATGTCCGAGGCTGTTAGTCCTAAGACTGGATGCAATCCCACCAGTAGGAGGAAACAAAACTTGGCTGAGCATCCAAGAAAGTGGTTACTGGCTTATTTCAGACCTACTTGTTAGACAGTGAGATTGTTATATTCCAAGGTCATCAAGGCGTCACCGTCACACCTGTCCTTTTTAAGAGAGAACTAGAGAATTTTTTTTTTCTCTGCTGCCCTCTTAAGTCACCTTTCCTTCACACAGTAAACTTTTCAATTTGTATAAATTATTAAACTGAGTAATGTGTTCCTCCTTCCTCCCTTGGCAGGGGAAGTTGTGGGTACTAGCAGAGGGTGGGGGAAGCACTGGAGGTTGTAGAAAGTTCCTGCAAACTTTCCCACCCTGGTGCTTTCATCGCAGCCCCCACTCTGGCATCTCAGCAGAACAGAGTCAGGGTAGGATCCCACCATCCATATCAGGCAGGGACTTGGGGACACCGTTGCTGAGGGCGTGTTCTGGTTAGAACTCAAGGACAACTGTCAGTTCCTTACATGTCTTACCATTTATCTTCCCCTTCTTCAAGCAAGAATAATGTCTGCTGATCGCTCATGACCGTCATGTACAGGAACTCTCTTCCTCAAATCCCCCTTTCTCACCCCAAGAATATGCTTTCAGAGCTAAAAATGAAGCTACTTCCTGTTCTTTAGATGAGGACTTGAGCTGATCAGAGCAGAGGCTAAGGAGGGAGCCTTGGCTTCTTAGCTTTGCAGAGAACCAACCAACAGTGAGCTCTCTTAAAGGGCCATAATCTCTTTTAAGATGAGATGTTAATGAGGAAAAGCTAAAGAGGTGACCCATTTTAGCGGAAAAGCATTGGCCTGGTAGTCAAGAATTCTGGGTTCTTGTACAGGTTCCCATAGCACACAGGTTCCTTACAGAGCTGCAGAATTATGGCGTGGCCAGGTTTTGGTCTAATGGATTCCTTGAACAGAATTATATGGCAGGTTTGTTTCTTCAGTGTGTTTTGTCTCACAGCTTACAGGCCAGTGGCTGAGAAGGTAGGGATCTCTCTCTCTGCATGTTCATCATTTGTTGGGATTTGTTACTCTTTGGCAATTTTACTGGGCTTGAGGGTCAGGGAAGAGACAGGAGAAATTAGTGGGAGGGAAGGGGTTTATCATAGGAAATGTTAAAGGAAATGACGACAGAAAAGGTTACTGTCAAATCTCATCATGGGTCAGTCTTTCTTCTAGGAAAAGCAATCCAAAAAAGATCAATCAGGATTAACATGGAGACTTCACTAGTGGTCCAGTGGTTAAGATTTTATGTTTCCAGTGCAGGGGTTTCAGGTTGATCCCTGGTTGGGGAACTAAGATCCACATGCCAGGCAGTGCGGCCCCCCAAAAAATGTTTTTAATTAAAAAAATTTAAAAAGATTAGCATGAAATGAGTTCTATACAACCACTGGCTGATTAGAAAGCAAGAAGTGGTCCTGGGAAAAGCACCAAGCTTGAAGTTGAATGACCTGGGTTTAAATTTAGGCTTTATACTTTATAATTTAATAAACCTTGGAAAGTCACCCAACCTTTCTGGGACTCAGCTTCCTCATCTGTAAAATTGGCATAATAATATCTAGCTTGTTATCATGATGGATGTCAGAGTACCTGGAACATAGTATATCCTCAAACTGTAAGAAAATTTTCTCTTCACCTTTAATGCTGCTTTATATTGGTGCGAACAGCCAAATTTCTGATTTTGAAGTTCTTATCTCTAGCCTTGCCGCCTACCCATACTGTCACTAAGAAACAGCAGAGATCCTGCCAAACTCCAGCAGCCCCTTTGCCCTAGCACATTAATCTTATACTATCAATTGTACCTACTGCCTCTTTTCTAGACCTTTCAAGGATGGAAGCCAGATGATTTTAATTTTTGTATCCCCAGTGCCTGACCCAATGTAGTTAGTCAAAACAAACAAAAAAAATAGTTGTTGAATAATTGAGCAGTCCACAGCATTCATTCTTTTTAGTTTTTATAATACCAATAAGAATAGTGACAGATAGTATTTTGTAGTCAGTTTTGCATATATTGACTTAATCTAGTCCTAACCAGAAACCCATGAGTAAGGGTATACCCACTGCCCACCATGTCACTGTTTTCATAGTTGGGAAAAACAGAGGCCCAGAGAACTGGCAGGACTTACACAATTTATGTCTAGTGGTTGCAGCAGAGCCAAGTCCATGATTCCTGGCCTGGCCCCAGGTGGTTAGTGTCCACCTAGAACATTTATTTGAGAACCTACTATGTGTATTGCACAAGCCAGACCCTCGGGAAACAGGAAGTATTTATGATCCGGTCCAAACAAACACTTGGTTGAAATTCTGCTCCTCCTGTAAGACCTACCCCAAGGGCCATCTGCTTCCTGGAGCCTATAGTGGTACCTCTGGAAGTGAATCTGGCCTCTGAATTCCTAGAACACTTAATTTTGCCTTCTGTCTTGACAGTACACTGGTTATGGGTAGCCTTTTCTCATAGGCATGTGTATCCTCATCATATCTTTCTCTTGCCATTACCTGGAAAATAGGGAGCATGTGTTCTTCACCTTTGTGTCCCCTTCAAAGACTAACATCCTACCTGACCCATTTCTACAGAAATGCTTATCAGAAGGAGGGAGAGAGAGAGAAAGGAATCTTGCCTTTGGTCTATGAGCACAGTGGGCAGTAGATTCTGGAGCTGGACAGGAACACACCCTCAGTGAAAAATGTTGGAGAAAAAAATATTTTATAAACTGTTCAATGCAACTATTTGTGTAACTGAGAATTTCATTTTATGAAACCATTAGAAACTCACTTGATAAGGAAGATATGCCTGAAAAAGTAAAAGTGAAGTCGCTCAGTCATGTCCAACTCTTTGCAACCCCATGGTCTGTAGCCCACCAGACTCCTCTGTCCATGGGATTTCCCAAGCAAGAATACTGGAGAGGGTTGCCATTTCCTTCTCCAGAGGATCTTCCCGACCCATAGCCTAGAGGACTTATAGCTGAGGCTCAGTGTGCAGTAAGAGCCTAACCATTTAACTAGAGGTTGAAAGACCCAGGCCTCCCCACCACCAGCCATGTGACAGTGGTTGAGTCACTGAACCTCTCCAAGCCTCCATGTCAACCCTTGCAAAATGGAACCTGTTATAATCTCTGTCCCTCAGCATAGCCACCTTGTTTTGAGGGTTAAATGAAATCATCCACTTAGAACACTTATCAGAAATGCCTGGAACATGGTAAGCACTTGAT